CTGACCTTGCTGTATGCCACCCAACATTGAGGAAGAGATAGAGTCTAACCTTGGCTTTTAACTCCATATTTCAGTGATTTGGAGGCCAAAATATACCTTCCCACCTCGAAAGAAGTTAAGTAGGGAAGAAGTTCTTAGCCAGAAAGGGAGAGTTGTTTCACTACAGCAAGTGACTCTTTCTCACTGGGGAAGGAAATACAGATAAGACATTGAGTTAAACAACTGTCATCTGTTATGGGTCAGGGAAAAAGGCAAAAAGGGACAGTCATTTTTATCTCAACAAGTTACTTGTCTCTCTTGAACTTTTCAAAAGTGTTTCAGCTTATGTGAAATAACAATGGTGCTGGTCTGTCTGGAAATTTCTTAAAGAAAGCATCACATCATGATACAATTGCAGAAGAACAGATTTAACCTTATATGATACAGTTTCATCTCTTATATGATAAAAGATGCAGAATTTCAGTCACCGATACCTATGTTCCCATCTTTCCTATGAGACTTCTACAAATATGTCCACTCATTTACAAGGATCCTAAAGACCAGATTCAATAGCATTAAAAAGTTCCTAAATTCTCACCAGAATTATTTGTTGAATCTGATTAAAAGAAATGGAAAATCAGGAAGTTTTCTTGGTAAATTACTTGGACTTCATTTGTAGGTAAATGCACCTCAGGCCCAAATTACATTTAGCTAATGTCAGCTTCCAGGCACTGTATGTTTTCATGAATTTGTCTTCTTATTAGATGTGTCATTACTGTCTGATAACCTATTCTTCCTATAAGGATTGTGAAACTGTCATTAAAATAGCATCTTAATACTCTCTTTGGAAGGTTGATAAGTTTGAGCTTCTTAAGATTACTGATTAAAGAATGTCAGTCTTCTATTTTTCCTGAAACTTTTCTGATTTCATGCTCTTGCTTCAAAAATGCTTCTTTTTTCTTTTTCCTTTTTCTTTTTTCTTTTTTTTTCTTCTTTCTTTTTTCTTTTTTCCTCTTTCTTTTTTCTTTTTTCTTTTTCTTTTTTTCCTTTTCCTTTTTTTTTGTGTGTGTGCATAGTGCCATAGATTGAGGAAACACTGGTTTCTTACTGCTTTGCAGCACAGTATAAAAAGCTTTGCTCATTTCCTCTATTTACTGTAACCTCTGAATTTGTTCCACTGCAGTAAAATGCCACATCCTGTGAGTATGGTATGTACTCTTTGTTGAAAGGTGTACAGTATTGCTCTCCATAATACTAATACACCTGTTATGTGCTTTAACAGAACATAGGAGCTGTGGCAGCCTGTAGGATGGGTCACTTGTATAGAACATTGTCATCTGAGCACTCTGCCTAAGTGATCTGCTGATATTGTTATTTACTGCACCAAACTTTCATTATTTCTAGCTGTGGCCAGTAGTGATTTCATTTTTATATTCTGTATTGTGTATCCAAATCACTGTACTGAATAATACTGAGCTTTCCTGAGATCAGTGGAATTGAAATGAAATGCCCTGCTCTGTGCAATTCTTCATGAATAGTTCTGTTTCTCAACTGTTAGATATAAACCCACTTAATGTCTCCTCTGTTGATTTTAGCACACTGATTTTGCATTCCAAATATTAATCAGTATTCCACGAAATCATGCAGATTGGTGTTTCATACTGGTTTTGTGTGTGTTTTGTTGTTGTTTTTGTTCTTTAACTTAAGAAATCCGGAATCGGTTATTTTGCCTTGTGCAGTGCCAAAGTGTCCAATGTGCAGTGACAATTTTCATCCCATGTACTTGTTTAAAACTGGACAAACCTAGCATGAATTAGGCAGATCTTTAAGAAGGAGACAGACTGCAATGAATCTAAGCTTTTTTTTTTTCCTAAAAAAACTGAATATTCTCTTTATTTTACAAATATACACACACTAAGTGAAAAATGAGCACTGGATCCAACTCCTTTAAAATTGCTGGGAAGAAAATGCATTTGACTGGAAATGTTAACACAAATAGATCATGGAGAACAACTTCTGTAGTTATCGCTGAAATACAAAGTTGTCCATTACGACATAGGCATGCAGTCTCCCATTTTCTTTTTATGGAAAAATAAAGGACAGAAATATTTGTCATGCACATTTGCCCTTTTATTATTGCTGACAGAAAAACATTCTTAACAGAATTTGAACTGCTGTATTGCAGGTGTTCCATTTTTGCCTGATTTACATACTACTTGGGACAAGAAGTATATATTGTTGCAATTAACACTTACTGATCATGATGTTTCATTAATACTTTTACCTTTCTTTATTAATTATTTGCATTTCTTTTTTTCTAATTTATTTTCATGGAAATAGCATGCTGCTTCATATTTCAATATATCAGCTTTTAATAGATAATAAGGGCTTCTGGGGGGGGAGGAGTGAAACTTATGACTAAAGAACACCTATAAAATACAGCAATTTAGAGCAATGCACATTACTATAGATAAGGGCCACTTAATATCATGTCAAGCTGATCATACCTAATCTACAGTCTGCTTAGGTTAACCAAAGGCTGCCACAATGCTTAAATGTCAATCTTGTTCAAGGCCATTTGAATAATATTTAACATCAAGTTATTTGTCATATATACAGGAATTTGCCTAATATTCTAGTCCAGTTTGTCTTAAAATACACATAAAATATTGAACAAGGGTGAGCTGGTAAGCCTGCCCCAGTATTACCTTGCATCTTCCTCATGGTGGTAATAAAAGAACAGAGCAATAAGCAAAGAAACATTGTGTTGTAGTGTCTTGGTAGATGAGGCAGTATTGATTTGTTTCATTTAGCCACCTGGTATAATTACAGAATATCAAGACTGCCTTTTTAATTAAGATGCACAAGGCTAGTAACAGCAGCCATCAGTTTGTACAGTGTCTTGTTGGACATTCCATGGTCACACATTTGTTTTAAGCATCCCCTTGCCTAGGGCCTTGTGTCTCCTGTTAGTTTCACCCTATGACATCCATTCTTAGATCACTTTTGAGGGAGCAGCCCTTGTGGAGCATCTTCACCTGAGACCCTTCTTTCTAACACAGGTCAAGGCAGGGCTCCTCTATGTCTACCAGAAGTACAGGTGCTAATCTGCAGACTGCCACTTTGGGTCTCTGAGATGAGCCAGCTGTGCTCAGATACCCCACATTTCCATTCCAGTGGCTGCATGCTCACTGCCTTTCAATATGGTGTGCTTCAAACACAGCAATGGATGGATGGCTCCTCTACCTGCTAAAGTACTATTTCAGTCCTCTCTCTTTCAGGGCTCTCTAACTTTGCCAAGCAAGTTATCACTCCTACTCAGCATCTTTGTTCTTGGTTATTTCTTCTTAATAAGACCTAAAGTTTCTTCTGATGACAGATCAAATTGCTGGTAATAAAAATATAATTTAAAAATAAAGTAAAAATATTGCAGACATCATCTCTGGCCTTTGTAGATGCCTTTCAAAGGATTTTTATTTTTTCTTTCTAGTTTTTAGTTCCTTTTTCAGTCCTAACTATTCACAGGTCCCATTTTCACCCATCTTTTTATCATATTCTCTTGGAGTTCCTGAAGACTTTCAGTAAGATGTCTTATTCTCCAGCTTTTGTTGAGAAAGAAGCTTTTGTAGGAGGGAGAAGTTCTCCTCATTAGAGAGGATAAGATTTGAAAATAACAAGAAACTCCCCGTACTTTGTTCTGGGGCATCACTGATCCTTAGAGTTCCTAGCAGTTTCTGTTGTAGCATCATAACAAATGTTTTACTGCAACACAAACTGTCTAATCCTTCTTAGGAAAATGGTGTTAATATGAAACAAAGATATGTAGGTATTCTGGCACAGAGTACCTCCAGTGAAACCCTGTGTGCTTTTTACCTGTTTTGTACGCAAATGCATGTAGCTGTGTAATCTCACTTGTTCCTTTTTCAAAATACTCCTGAAACCAGCCAGAAGCCTTTTTTTTTTGCCTGAATCACATTTGCTTCCATTATTTATGGCTGCCGTATTCAAAAATTGCCAGTAATTGAGTGCTCTCACAGCCTGACAGATTTACTAACAGGCTGGTACCAGGCTTACTATTTAATGGGACAATTCTATAAAATCTTTGGCAGGGCAGCTACCATATGATTCGAGCATGTTTAGCAATTTTAGTTTTGCTTTTATTTCACATACGTCCATTCCATTTCCAAATTTTCCTTTACTTTCATTCTATAACCTTTGTTTCTACACTTAACTGCTGTATGTTAACTGAAAATGGAGGCAACATATTCACTTCATCCTGGGGGTTATTTCTCAAGTCCTATCCCACCCTTCTGCACAACAATAATTCTTGTTGTTTTGTTATTTCTGTTGTACAAAGGATCTTTTGTTGTTTGTTTTCAAAAAAGTCAGGAAATTCACAGTCTGTGTGGCTCAATCTAACTTTTAACAATTTTCACACTCTTCTTGACCTCTGAAATGCAGTTCTACTCATGTATACTTAGTTCCTCCTATATCAATCAATCTCTGCAAAATCCTAGTTTTCTCCTGACATCCTTGTCCACCCAGTCAGACCTGGTGCCTTTTTCAGATGTCTTTTCATATTTTATGGAATACAAGTCTGCAGTTAAAGAAAAGTAAGTTTTGTGTGCATTGGAGTCCTCAGGTTTGACAGAAGATGTATGGCATGAAAGCCTTTTTTGTTGTTTTTGTTGTTGTTTTAATCCCAAGCTGTAAGAGAATAAGCAATCAAACTGAAAGTCAAAAAAAAAATTTTTTTTTTTAAAAAAAAGGATAAAATATACAGTTTGGGTATTCTCTATCTATTTCAGCCATTTTCATTTTTTCTAAATGTTCATACCAGTATTATTTGTGAATGTCATTTGGAATGTGTCTTAAACCTCATTTCCAAATGACTGACACTTTTACCAGGGCAGAAACTGCCTGTATTTTTCCTGGTTTTGTTTTCCAGTACAGAAATTCAGCAAAACTGCCCTACTAATCTTCACTTTATACAAACAAACAAACAAACAAGGAAAAAAAAAACCAAGAAAAAAACCCCACAAACTTGCCTATGATCAAATTTTTTTCATCCAAATAATTTCTCCTGAATTTTATTCCCCGGAGCTACATTATAATGCAGTGTCATATTATGCCAGTACCTTCTGTCACTTGGCTGTCCCTTTCACTTGACATAATGCAAGTTCGTTATACACTGCAGTGTTCTGATTCTAAAAGACTTAATCATATAAGCCAAGGTATAAGGAGTGTAGCAGTTTGGCTTCCGGCAGCCCCACCATTCTGCATTGTATCCTGCTAAAGTGATGTGGATGGCTCAGCATTAGATGAAAGGTAATGTAATGTGAATGGAGGAGGACAGAGAAAAATAGTTTCTTTCTCTTGCAAGACAGTATGTACCTGTGTGTCAGCTGCTGCAAGGATTAATACTGAGATCGAGGTAATGTATTTGGATGAAAAGCAAGACCAAATTTCTAGCTAGTTGTAGTCATTAAGGTTCCCAGCTCAAAGGCAATTTCTACAAATGATCATCTTCAGTCTTTCTGCTTTGATCAGTTCTAACGTAGCAGTTGTATTCCATTGAATTAACTTTCCATCATAGTTCTTCCTGCATGGTCCTCTTCCCAAAGCCCTTCTGCACAGCAAAGGTGTGATGGTTAGAATTTGACATCCTTCACTTCAGAGCTAAAAGAACCCAACCAATGTGAAAAAGATTGTGCAGTCAGTGATATGCATAAGAGTCCGTTTCATTTGAGGCTGTAGAAGACTCAAAACATTCTTACAAACTTTGAGTATGAGTTCTTAATGCCTAATTTTAGTGCATGGATTTTTAACAGTTTCTTAGTTTTCTGGGTTTTTTTTACACCGCAGTGGGGAAAAAAATAAAAGTGCAATTCAAAGTGAAATTTAAAATGCATCCATTTTCCGTGGAACATGCGATCAACACAGTACAGAAGTTCTTCCATATACAATCAACATGCCTTATTGGTTGTGAGCCCAGCACACTGTGCAACGTAAAGTCCTGCCAGACCTTCTCAATGGAAGCTGTAAGTGTTCTGAGAATAGTGGCTTAGCAAATGGAGTACTTGCCTTTTTACTACTGTAAATAAAGTTTACCCCTAAAAAAAATCAATTTATAGATTTTGCTTCCTGTCAGACAGTAATTTATACCTTGAGACCTAAGACTGATAACTCATAATTTACACCACTTGGCCATTCCTGATCAGAAAAGTCTTAAGCATGAAGTCACACAGAGGCTGAATTATCTCTGGCCTCACAAGTAGTTCCACCAGATCATGGCTGTGGCCATTACTAAACTGTCTTCTAAAAGCTTGTCAGTATTCAGAGCATATTGTTTGCTTGTTCTTGGGGGATTTAACCCTGCAGTGTGCTGTGCACTTCTGACAGTTACTAAGCACCACCACTAAGCACCACTGAATTGTTCAATTTGGATTTTAATAGCTCTTTCTAAATCAGTAAAAATAAATTATTTAAATCTCATTTAGTACAGATGTAATTAAAATGTACTTTGTATGAAAGACAGCACATGCAGAAATTGTTGGCTCTCTCCTGTACTTCAGGGGAAAAAAAGACACTGGGCTTAGGAGCTCTTATAAAAAGTCTAGTGAGAGCTTAACGTTTCTGTGCACTCCTTGAAATCAGAGATAACCAAATGATGAGATAAGTGGATAGCTCTTTTTTTCCTGTTGTTTTTAATTCAGTGAAGGCCTCCCGTTGCATATTCCTGTTGAAGTTGATGAATAGCTCCTCTGGGATGCTGTAGGCTCCACTCAATGTATTTATGGAATACCTTCCATTTACAGAGGCCACATATTTCTTCATCAGCCCATGAGGATCAAGGGAAACTAAAAGATGTGGTAAGCTCTTTTTTTTTTTTTTCACTTCTGCACAGTTGTTTTATATTCTGTTTTATGACTGTGGCTAACTGAAACCCCTCAGATTCAGCCTGGCCCTAGTGCCAGAAGATAACAGCACCTCAAACCCTAAAGCCATCTAATAAAAAGGTCCATTAGCCATTATTTTTCCTTTTTAGATTAAGCAGTCACACCATACAAGGAAGACTTACTCGGAATGAATAGAAAGAAAGGCTATCTTTCAGACCGTATTTTTGATGCATTTTTTCATCTATAGATTTAATATAACCTCAAATGATGCTTGTTTTCCTTACAAGGCCATTGGCAGCAGACCAGTGCACTGCAAAGACACCCCTAAATCTTTATAGAACAGAATCAGACCATGAAAATTAGCCAGGAGTTGCACTTCTGCGTGGACATCTGTAGATTTTTCTAACCTACCTAATGGCTGAAGAGCAGTGGATGTATGGTGAAAGCCATCTATAGCTGGTGAGAAGGGGATGTAGGCTGGAGTTGCTAAACTGAAGGCACCTTTCCTTGCCCTGTCTTCACATTCTCCACTGACCATACCACTGCCCCGGGTGGATGCTTATCATCAGAAGTCAAATGACCTATGGGATCAGATGCTGTAGATCTTCATAGACTTTATGCCCACAGAAAGATATCTCCCTGGAAAGTATCACAAGATCAAACTACATAGCATTTGCTATTTGTAAAGTTAGAGGAGAAGGGAAAAATGTTGTCTGTTCTTCACCCAATTGGTATTCAGTAAACCACAGTAATACTGAAAATCAAGATACATTTCCTGTAAAAATGTTCTCAGCAACTATCATAACACTGCATTGTCCTGCACAGGAGATGCACAGTGTCTGTCAAAATGTATTCACAAGGAACAATTCCTAGAATGTTTCATGTGGCTTCAGAGTAATTTGTAAACATTTTGTCTCAGATTTAATTTAATAGTGGCATGCCATTTTACAGGAGACATGTATTCATAGAGGTCTGCATACATTGTAATAGAGCTAGCTAACCAAGTGCACGTAAGTCAGCAGTACTTACTACTGTGTTAGAACATCAGAGTATGTTGCTCAGATTAGAGTGTGGTACTACCAGTGGGGGAAAATGAAAATGAGATGAACATACACTTCCATCATGAACTCCACTCCAGCAAGTGAGTGGGAGGCGAATCTGGGTCACATAGTCCAAGCTAAGTGGATTGCAAGGTTTGAGGTAATGAAGAAATCTCCCGGGTCACAGTAACGGAAGCTGTTTTGGTTTTATTTTTGCCTCCTTACAGCAAAACTCACACTTTATCTCTTAAGATCATTCTACCCCCAAATTATATATTCTCCGGTTCTCAGAAGTTGATGGGGCTTGATGCTGTGTTCTTTTTATGGCACATTACAGTTCTGGATGTTCATTATTAATCATCATCTTTCTTAATTGTGTTACACGCGAATTGTTTTATGGCCCGTGTCATGTGGAGAAGATGTTCTATGCACTGTTTGTGATTAAATGTCTAATTTATAGTAGCCCACAGTGCTAGGAACGGCTTACAGATGGTTCCAGATGGTCCTTTCCAGTTCTGTGTTCTAACATTTCTATTAGAGTTGATGGGTATCAGCAGCAAAAGGTAACTGACAATTCTATAATAACATCTCTTCTGTCAATTAACAATGCTCTTTGATATCCATTTCCTTTGAAAGAAAGGGGGGAAAATATGTTATTTGAAATCAAATGCAGAAATGAAGAGTAAAACACAAAGTCAAAAAGAAGTAGTGGGAGAAAGAAGGAAATTATTTTGTCATAGTCGGTTAGAAGGTTCTCACCATTGTATTTTTATCATTTTGCTTTGAATAGCAGTACTTTGTTCTGGATACCAGACCAAGAGCTCACCAAATGTTTTCAAACATAATCTAAGAACAATATCTCACCTTCTCTCTGATATTAATAGGTTTAAATTTCATTACCCCATGCATAGGAAAGTGCCAACATTTTCCAAGATTATACACATGTGCATCAATATCTGTCTTTATCAGTATCTACATCTAATTAAAGATGCATATGAAACATTCCATATCTTGCAAAACAGACACAACATTTTTGTTGCTGCATAAATACTCCACATTAATGCTCTTACGTGCTTTATGTATCACATGCGTGTCCTCTGACGCAGAGAAATGAAGCAACCTGGTAGGAGGAAGCTTCAGACCAAAGGGGCTCACTGAAATGCAGAAGTGAAAGAACACCAGATCTGCTCCAGGAAAGATTCCAGGCCTTCTCTGCAAAAATTAACTCATGAATAATTAACAACATTAATTGATTATGCTGAATGTACAGTTTGTCCACATTGGACAGACACACAAAAAATATCCTGGTTAACAAGGCTAAGGTAATACTGAAGAGTTCATTTTCCACACAGTGCATAGCACTGAGTTTCATTTAGTTGTTAGTTATGGGGATAAGGATATAATTAAGCCCATGCAAGTTTAAATCTCTCACTTGGGAAAGGCAGTATGTCTGTGTTTCTGTGAATATGGTTCTGTAGTTAATACTCTTCATACTAGAACTGAGGTTTGACACAACTCTAACTCTGGGATTCGGGAGCTGCAGGGTGGACTTTGGACTCAGGCTCATCTTTGCTCTAAAAGTTTGTATGGTTGTGGGTGAATTATGTTCCTTATTCATGTCAGTGCACATGACTGTAAGAGTTTGAAACAAGAGCCAAGGAGGCAACAGGACCCATTTTGTGCCACTGCCAGATCAGAATTTCCTTTTGTTCAAAACTCTGCAAGTGTCATTCCAGCATATTTAAAGAAAATTATTTCCTGTGTGCCAGTATTTACAAAGAAAATCTCTATCCAGAAGGTTAAGAATTAAAGCTAGCCTTGTAATTTCTCAGTTTCAACTAAGCCACTGTCTCAGAGCTGATAAAGAAAGGGCAAATCATGAGACATTTATCTTCTGACACTCCAACAATATGTAGCAAGAGTGCAGTCAAGTTTAACTGAGTTTCCTCTGAAGAAACTCCTCAAAGTATCTCAGGAAAGCTAGATTTGAACTTGCTGTACGTAAACTTATTCTCCCTGTTTCAGTGTGCAAGAGTATTTGACTGGAGGTAAAGGGCTGGATTTTTTTCCCCATTTGAATAAGTGGTGAGGAAAGAAGCTTTAATCTTGCATCTTTTTCTGTCATGGTTTTCATGCATTGGATTTTTTATTTTCTTCTCAGTCTGTCAAGGTCTCAAAAGTGACCTTGACAAGTGAAATCTCCCACTTCTTCTGAGTGTGAATAAGCCCAGTTATTTCTATGTTGATGGTTTGTTTTTATTATGGATTTCCTTGAGCCTAAGAAGCTTGAAATAGCAGCTTTTATCTTAAGATGTTTAAACTTGATTGAGTCACAATAAGTCTGCAGCTGTCTGGATATGTAGATACATATCTGTTCTTGGCACTTATGTGGCCATCACTGGTGCTGTTTTTAAGCATCTTGCAATCCTTACAGGGCTTTACTCACAGTGCCCCTGCCCAGCAGGGAAGCTTTAGCTGCATTTTGCAGACAGGAGACTGAAGTACAGCACAGGGTGAGTGGCCTGTTCAAGGACTCCCGGGAAGTCCAAAGTGCAAGTTCACAGCAATGTCCACCAGGTCAAGCTTATGTCTCCTCTCACCATATAATCAGAGCGGTTGCAGGAACAAAGAAAAATGACCTTGCTTATAATATGTTAACCCACTTTTAAGTTAAGTTTGGCCCCTTGGTGATGACTTACAAAAAAAAAAAAAAAAGAAGGATTAAACAAGGAGAATGATCTTCTTGAAAAAATACACCTCTACAATCAATTTGTTAGCTAAGGGCAATTTCTCTTACCAAGCTGTTTTAAAAGCAGGCTGATTAAGCCTCAGGGACTTGAATAAAGCCGTTCTGTATTTACAGTGGTGGAGTGACTGACACAGTAGATCCACATCAGTGAGCGGCTGCAGTGCGAAACAGTGGCAATCTTTCACCTGCAAGAACTGAAAGAAAATTTCTTGGTTCAAATGAGACATATTTCGACTGGCTCATCAATCAATGCCATGTTATCCTATGAAATGGATATACACCATCAGTTAAGTTGTTGATGTTCACATGTGCAGTGAATCCAGGAGAGTGACCCATATAAAGTCTGATAAAACCGATTTGTTTACAGAGTTATTAGAAGATGGAGCAGGATTGATGAGACAGCATGAGGAGAAAGGCAGTGACCTGCTGGAGCCATCAGCCTGCTGGTCCTGTTACAGGTGGCTCCATCTGAAACCAAATGATTTGGTAAACATGAAGTTACCTGTCTATATATTTTTCTTCTGTGCTGTGTAATGAAGGTAAGGGTGCTTTATTCATACTTACATAGCATTTCAGGCAAGGAACCTTTTGGTTTAGAAGCAGCTCTGGAGGCCACTGCCCGATGTTGTGTGCAGAGCAGGGCCCACTTCGAAGTCAGACCCAGCTTCAGGGGTCGACTGTGTTGCCCAGGGTATCTGTGGCCACTGGAAGGGAAATGATCATAGAATCATCGAATCACAGAATGGCCTGGGTTGAAAAGGCCCACAGTGCTCATCCAGTTCCAACCCCCTGCTATGTGCAGGGTCACCAACCAGAGGACCAGGCTGCCCAGAGCCACATCCAGCCTGGCCTTGAATGCCTGCAGGGATGGGGCATCCACAGCCTCCTTGTCCTAAGCAATCCCTGCTGCAAGTCCTCATGCTTCAGCGTTGGGACAGGGGAGGAGGACAGGGGTGCCTGTGGGGCTGGGTCTTCTGACGTTAGTCCTGCTGTAGGCGTTAGGGGGAAGACAGATATTTCCTTTCGGCAAAGAACTAGGCCTGCACGGTCACAAATGAACGGTAAAAGGGAAGCTTGTACAACCAGAGCTCAAACTCCCAGCTCTCTGCCCGGCAGCCGCCCACCCGCCGACCGCAGCAGGCCGCCCCGCGCAGCCCCAGCGAGCGGGAAAGGGCCGAGCGCCGGCTCCCCGCCGTTAGCCGGTGCTGGAGCGCCCTCTGCTGGGCTGGGGATCCCCGCTGCTGAGGAACGGGGTGGAGAGCCCAGCTCGTGGGTCCGAAGGCACAGACGTTGCCCCACGTACCGCCCCCAGACTCCCCAAAAATCCCTTTCGCCGTGTTGCGCACTACCTGGGGAAGAGGTGGAGTTATCTTGCACCTCCTCCACCGCTGGCTGCTCTGATGGTGCGTGTTAGTCTGGATTCGCCTCCTCGGTCTTGCTAAATCTCCTTGCCTGTGAGGAACGCGTAGTTTGGAACTGTCAGTTCTTATCTCTTCCAAACACCTGATTCTAACAGTCTGCGGTGTTTCAGAGAGGCCCCACACCAGTTAAGAAGAGGAATTTGATTCTGGTTACATACATGGAGATTGTTCTAGAGTAGCGTTATTGCTGATGTCTCGGCCAAGTGTGTGTCTCAGCTTTGACGTCATGTTTGTTATAAGAGGATGCATAATGCAGAAGGACACCGTAGCTAAAATAAAGACCTTGTACAACAGTCAGGGCATAAGTACTATTTTCATTCATTTGAATACCTGTCATGGGCTGTAGGGCTCAATGAAACTCAACGATCAGGTGGAGACTTTTTTCCTTGAAAACATTCTACGAGGGATTATTCAACCTCTTGTGGGATGAATTCCAGCAAGATAGGAAGTGTGTAAAGAACCACAGTCATTTGCTACAGGGACCAATGAGGAGTGAATGCATTAGCAAAGTGAGAAATTGCTCTCTTCCTGGGCACACTTTGCTGTCACATATGCAGGAGGTTTGGGAAAGCTGGATCATCAGGGCAGGAAAGCTCTTCAGAGTCAGAGCAGCCTGCACACTCTCATTCAAATGTCTCAGATCAAATGATCTGTCTGTTACTACCTCAAGTCTGGCTCCCAACATTGTTTTGCTCTCCCAGAGATCCAGGGAGAAGTCAGTGATTGTGTAAGGCTGGAGATGCCATGTGGTATGCAAGAGAGTGGGAAAAAAAGGAAACCTTTGGCTTACAGGCCACAGAGTTGACATAGACTGAGGTTGTGGGCCAGCCACAATTATCTTGGGACTGTTGTTCTCTTCTGCTGGCACGTCATCTGCCTCCAACTATGTGCTGACTGAGCTTGCTTGTCTATTGTAGTGCTTACTCTACCACTCCTTTGCCCTGTAGAGCATTTTTGCATTTCAGTTGTGGATCAGAACTGCTAGTCTTTTTGTCCCTCTTCACTCAAGTCAGGAAAAGAAGAAAAGAGATTTTCTTGCAAGTGCAAATACCACCCCAGGGTGTGGCTATGTGCTCTTTGGATCCCTTGCTGCTTTTACCAACCTGTGTCTCCTTTTTGTTTCTAGGAAGTTCCTGTCAGTAGAGTATTTAAGCTCTGGTTGTGGTATTTAATAGCACAGGGGAGAGTCACCCAAACAGCTCTCCTCTCCCAGCCACCAGACTGCACTACATGTACTGCAGTGCTATGGGTAGTACCCAACATGCCCTATAAACTCACAGATGGTGAGAATAGTGTGTCTTCTCATCAGAAATGGTAAGGAGATGTCAAAGATTTGCATGCTTTATTCAGAGACTTGGAAATGACAAGGAAGAGGCTTCCTTTGAGAATGGCTCCAAAGCGCTTGTGGGACTGGCAAGTAGATCTAGTAACCAAAATGCCTATGGGTAAAAATGTGTAACACAAGAAAAATAAAAAGAATAGCTTAGAAGAATTAAAGCTTTGGCTTCTCTTTCTGTGCTTACTTAGGAAAGGATATAAACTACTAGCAAAATGTTCTCAGCATCAGCAAAATCTCCAGTGCTCTCAGAAAGATCTGAGATGTGTTAAACTTCTGCAGATGGAAACTGAAATGGTATCAGATCTGATTGCTCAAGGATGGATGTGCTCTGAAATTTCACATGACACAATACCCAGCAGCCTGCAGAATCATCATCAGGATGCAAGTTTATTGCTTATGGTCCTAAATGTGTGGGGTCTGTAAGTATTCTTCTTTCAAAAGTAATTTTCTTGTCACTGTAGTGAGCATGATCAGTCTTATGCTGACAGCATGGGATAGTAAAGTCTAACAGTGTATGCAACCCCTTGAAGGACCTGTGGGAATAGCTGGTCCCACTATATAACATAACTGTACCCAAATACTGTAAATTAGCCAAGCTACGATTCACAGCTTACAGCCAAGAAGAAGCAGAGAGGACTAGAGGCACCTCTTCTGGATAGATAGTCATTCAAAAAGACCGAGAGACTAACAGACTGTTTTTTCCACCCTAGTTTAATTTAAATGGCATTTCTGTCCAGCTTGCTCAAAATAGGTTTATCACACAGCTATGGCTTTTGTTATCTTTGGCTTAGAGAAAGCTAAACCAAGTTCAGCTGTGTACTCAAAGAGCAAATTTTGTTCTCCAAGAGTAAGTTGTGCTTAATGTACATTTTCCCTCATCATCCCTCTGTTGCTTCTCCAACCTGCCTTGGTAGAGAATTATGTGAAGGTCACCTTAGATCATTTTAGTGTCTATTAAATACTTGGCCTCCCCCACTAAGTACAGAAAATATGATATTATTTGCAGTGGTCTTTTTTTTTTTTTTTTTTTTTTTGTGGAGATTTCTGTGCTGCAGGAACAGTGCAGCAATCAATAAACTCATTCTACTCCTATCAGGATACAGAAAACAGATAACGACTTCAAGTCATTAGTGTAATGTTTGACACCATGTACTTTATTACACTGTCATAGCAATTACTTATTGAAACACCTGAGACTGATTTTTCATCAAAGGGACAATTTGGAGGTGTGAGCAGGAAAATCCCCCAAAAAGAACCACATTGCAATGAACAAGCTTGTTCTTCCTGGCATTTTGCTTCTTCCACACACAGAGTGGAGAATATAAATCAAAACTTAAAGAAGTAAATTAAAGGAATTTTTCAGACCTCAATATTTCTGTTTGAGAGTTTGGTAAAGATGTGAAACAATCTTATTTATTTGATCTGTTTCCTCCACTGCTAGTAAACATAGCCTCTTCATAGTTGCCACCATCCCATCTTCTCCTCAGAGACTCAGTTGGATATGTGAGACAGTGTGAGCATGAGAGTACAAATGTGTCTGTGGTTCCAGATCTCTCATCCTCTTACCTGTTAAAGCTGTTATCTCCTGTTTTATAACAGCAAATCTTCTCAGCAAAGCTCAGCTTTACATTAATGCTTCTGTTAAAATAGGAATGATCTCTATTCTATCTACTGAACTGTGCTTTAGTACCCTCCTATGTTGTGGTGAGAGACCAATTCCCACACCTCACTTTACTCTGGTTGCCATCCTGGGTATCACTGGTATCCCACACAGATGACTGGCTATGTCTGCCATCTAAGGCTGTGAGTATAACTTCACTGTGTCATTTCATCCTGGCTTGAGACACCTTTGATCTGCTTCCAGGTGGATGGTCCAAGGGGACTCTCAGGCTGGAGGATCACAGAATAATTCAGGTTGGAAGGGACCCTTAAGATCACCTAGTTCCAACCCCCTGCTTATAGGCAGGGACACCTCTCACTAGACCAGGTTGCTCATTTCATCCAGCCTGGCCTTGAATGCTTCAGTGTGAGGGCATCCACAGCCTCTCTGGGCAGTCTGTTCCAATGTCTCACCACCTTCACAGTAAATAATTTCTTCCTAATACCTAATCTAAATCTACCCTCTTCCAGTTTAAAGCCATTTCCCCTTGTCCTGTCAATACATGCACTTATAAAAAGTCCCTCTCCAGCTTTCCTGTAGACCCCCTTCAGGTACTGGAAGACCACTATAAAGTCCCTCTGCAGCCTTCTCTTCTCTAGGCTGAAAAGCCCCAAATCTCTCAGCTGGAGGTGCTCCAGCTTTCTGATTATCTTCATGGCCTTCCTCTGGACCTGTTCCAACAACTTGGTGTCCTTCTTGTGTTGTGGGACCCAGAACTGGACACAGTACTCCAGGTAGAGTCTCATGAGAGCTGAGTAAAAAGGCAGAATCACCTCACTTGACCTGCTGGTCACACTTCTCTTAATGCAACCCAAAATATGGTTGGCCTTCTGGACTGCAAGTGCACACTGCCATCTCATGTTGAGTCTTTCATCAACCAGCACCCCCAAATCCTTCTCCTCAGGGCTGCTCTCAAGCCATTGTTCACCCAACCTGTATTTGTCCTTGGGATTGCCCCAACCCAGGTGCAAGATCTTGTACTTGAACTTCATGAGGTTGGCATGGGCCCACATCTCAAGCCTGTCCAGGTCCCTCTGGATGGCATCCCTTCCCTCTACAGTGTCAATTGCACCACTCAGCTTTGTCATCTGCAAACTTGCTGGGCTTACACTCGATCCCATGTTCTGTGTCACACCTATGAAGGTTTTAAATAGCACCAATCCCATCACCAATCCCCAAGGAATGCCATTTGTCACTGGTCTCTAATTGGACACTGAGCCGCCTACCCAGCAAGTGGTCCATCCATCAGATCCATTTTCATTCATTCTGGCAACCAAGATACTGTGCGGAATAGTGTCAAATTCTTTGCACAAATCCAAGGTAAATGAAATCAGCTGCTCTCCCTTTACCCACTGATGCTGTA